GCCCCGGTCCCGGCCTCCGCCACCGGCAGCAGCCCTTAGCCGCGCCAAGCCAACGAGCCCGCTCCCGCCGGTGAGCTACCGAGCGATCGTGTGGCACGTGCTGCACTATCGGTCGTCGATCCAGCACGTGACCTACATCCAGCAGTGCTCCTACTACGTCGAGCTCTTCCTCCTCAACCTCATCTTGCTCAACGTCGTCGTAACGATTGTGAGCTCGTCGAGCCTCGTGGACCCGGCCGTGCCAGGTACACATCGCATCCGACGACGCGAATATCGAGCGTTCTACACTGTAGTGCACACGCCGTGGTGGTTCACGGGTATCATTTACGTCTCGACCGCCATCTTTACCATCGAGTACCTCTTGCGCTGGTGGTCGTGCGTCGAAGACCCTCGCTTCAAGTTCCACGCCGTATTTGGCCGGTATCGTTCATCTCCTGGATGTAGAACTGTTGCAAGGCCGTGCGTAGACTGCAATGGATGCTGCGGCCCATGTCTCTCATTGACCTTGTTGCGCTCGTACCCTACTTTCTTGAAATTGCGCTCTGCTCAGCGTCTGCGTCCGTCCTCGTGTGCCCGCATGCTGGTCGCCCTATCATGTATGTAGGACGTCGGTGGCGTATCGCGGCTCGATGACCATTCGCGGCCTCCGACTCCTCCGCGTCATTTCCTTTCTGCGCATTGAACGATCTTATGATGCGATCAAGCGGCTGCGCATCATCTTTCGGCGAAAGCGGGTAGGCATATTGCACATCTACCAAGTCCTCACGCGTTGTCTGTGCAGCAAGAATTCTTTGTGGTGACCTACCTCACCGCGGTCGTCATTCTCGTCTCGGCCACCATCATGTATGTCAACTTTCACATGAAAATGATAGGGAAACCTTGTCGCTTGCGTAGCTTTTTCCTCGAGTTTCCGGCGCAGCCCGACGTCTTTTCCAGCATTGGCGTCGGCGCGTGGTGGGCAATCGAGACCATCACGTCGCTCGGGTACGGCGACACGGTGCCCATCACGGTGGCCGGTCGCATCTTTGCGTCCATCGTCGCACTCTGGGGCATCATCCTCTTTGCGATTCCAGGTAGAATCGATCGTATACCAGCTAGAATAGTAAACACGCTGGTGCAGGCGCGATCCTCGGCAGTGGCTTCATTGAAGTCATGCTCGAGCACCAAACGGCCAAGGAAATGCGCGCCAAAGACCGGTGGATCCACGAAATTTCTTCGCAGCTCCACCAGATTCAGTCGGTCGCCGCGGGCTCGCTCTTGGCGCCGCGTACGTTGCGAGAGACAAACTGACGTAGGTTGGTTGACGGTCGTATGTTTAGTGACGACCTTGTCCAACGTCCTTTCCGAGCCCGTCGAAGGCAGCGTCGACGAGGACATTACGGAGGCTCCCACCCCAGCGACACCACCGCTCTCGATCCCTTTGGGCACTCCGGATGCGACGACGTCGCCGCATTTATCTCCGTTTGGGTCCGACGTCGTGACGGTCTCGTCGTCGCAGCTCAACGAACTCCTTCAAAATCAGGTGAGCACCGACTGCTCATGTGGACGGCGCACATATTTCGTGCTAGGAAATGCTCTCGCTGCAGATTCAGCTACAGCGTGAACAACTCGACCGCGTCTTGAAGCTTCTCGAGACCAAGGTTCACATTGGCCCCAGCAGTAGCGTGTTTTAGTAAGCGCATTGACGTGAACAAGCACTGCGCGCCGTGATGGTTGGCTCCTGCACCATTTTCATGAAGAGAGAAGAGACTGCAACAATCGTTCTTTGCTCGGCAACGCGAGAAAGATGTGCACACCCAAGGAGCTGCAGGCTGTATCCAGGTGCAAACGGGCGACCGACCAACGGCAGCGCACGTTGTTGATGCAGCGTAGACGCCCGGGTGGGAGTTGACCATAAATACAGATCCCACGTGGTGTCGCGGTTCCTTGGACGCCTAGGGAGGCCCCGCCACCGCTCCTGCTGGCTTCCGAGTTTGTGTCTCGCATCGTCGAGGCAGATCGTTCCATCGAACGAACGATGACCTCCAACAAGGAAGGGACTTGATTGTCTACCATTGCATAGCGCGTTCGCGGGCGTCAGAGTTGTGCTTCAGAAATCATCCAGCGTGGGACATGGCTCGTCGCCGTGCGGTGTAGCGACGTTGAGTATTGGAGGTGAGCGCCATGCATGAGGCCGGAACGTCGGGTCTGCATGTCATTTGGTCTTGACGTTTTAGAGCGAGCCCATACATGCGAGCCATTGGAACGTCGAGAAGTCGTCCTTAGACCTGATGTGCAGCGTTCTTGCCATCTTCCGATGCATCCATACCATCCGTCCATTTCATCCATCGTGTTGGGTGGACTTTCCACGTCGCCTTCTCGGTTCATTTTTGTTTTGGCCCGATGCAGAGTAGACGAATGCTCGAAGTGACGCCCTTGCTGCCAGTACAAGTGAGTCCGCGGCCCGCGACGCTGCGCGCGCTTATTTGGCACGTGCTGCATTTTCGCGCGTCGACCTCGCACGTATCGCTCGTGCAGCGCTGCTCTCACTAGGTGGACCCGGGCTTGCTATATTTGATTGTGATCAACGTACTTGTCACCGTCTACGGCTCGGCCAGCTCGTCGCCACCAGGTACTGCACCTGACTTTACACAACGCACTGTTGACGGACGCGGTGTTAGACGCCGGCATCCGCATGGTGGTGGCCTTTTCCACCGCTGTCTTCCTCTTCGAGTACCTCTTGCGTCTCTGGTCGTGCGTCGAGGACCGTCGGTTTGCCTCCAACGCTGTGCTTGGACGGTACTGCACACTCAAGTCCCGTACACTTGTAATGTGCAACTAGTCTCGCCTGGATGCGCCGCCCCATGTCGCTGATTGATCTTGTTGCGCTCGTGCCCTACGTGGTTGAAGCGATCGCGTGCTACAGCGCTGTGTATGACTACCATATCACAGTACGCTTTTGGGCTCATTACATGATGGACTTCCGGAAGCGTCGGCGGTTGTGCAGGGCCTGCGCCTTCTGCGGGTCCTCGCCTTTCTGCGCATCGAGCGGTCGTACGATGCGGTCAAGCGCCTTCGCATCATCTTTCGCAAAAAGCGGGTAGCATCCCTCTTGCTGCTCTTGTCGAATATTGACGACACGCAAGTAGCACGAGCTCTTTGTGATCACATACCTCACGGGCGCCGTCATCCTCCTCTCGGGCATCACCATGTACGTACAATGTGCCTGATACAGGGCCATGGCTCACGCGACGACGTAGCTTTTTTCTCGAGCAAGAGGCGCAGCCAAAGGTGTTTTCCAGCATTGGCGTCGGCGCGTGGTGGGCCGTCGAGACCATCACGTCGCTTGGGTACGGAGACGCGGTGCCCAGGACGGTGGCTGGCCGCATCTTTGCCTCGGTCGTCGCGCTCTGGGGCATCGACCTCTTTGCGATTCCAGGTACTACTCGTTTCCTGCAGTATGCTGCAATCAGACGACGTGGGATCGATCGAGTAGGCGCCATTCTCGGCAGCGGCTTTGTCGAGGTCATGCTCAAGCACCAAACCGCCAAGGAGCGACGCGCCAATGCGGAGTGGCTGCAGCATGCGTGCACGCGGCTGCACGTACCGTTTTGTACGTCGCACGATAGACTAATAGGGAAGGATGAATGATGCGCTTGAATAGTTGCCGAACTGGACCTGCCGTCACGCAGCGAGAGCTCGACGACATCGTCGCCGCCACCGTCCCCGTCGTCGACAAGCGAGTATGCTCGTACATGCTTCTCGAGCGCACACTTTGAGCGCGTGGCCGAGACGCAGGTACTCACCACGTCGTCTACGCATGTGTCCTTATACTACGCGTGTAGGAGCGGCTCGTGCTGCAGCTACACGTGCAACAAGTCCAAATTGAACGCATTTTAGCGCTGCTAGAGACGACAAAAGACCAAGTAGGCAGCGATTCCATGCGTGGCACTGCCAACGACCTTATTTAATTCAAGTGTCTCGCGAGGATAAGTTGTGGTGGGATACATCATCAAACAATTTGTATTACCGTTGGTTGATTCGTTGTTGTGGGCTGCTGTGCGAGGACAGCTTGGCCCAGGAACGGCGCCTCGAGTGCAGTCAAATGCGCCCGCGTCTGTCAGTCTGGTGAACCGGTCTACAAGCAAAACGACAAGTCTGAAAACCCATAATGTGTTTATGCATGCTCTTACAACCGAACACTACCAGAGTCGACGGACTACACATGAGTTTTACTAGTCGGCGAGAAGGCGGTCGTAGATGCGGCGGCGCTGCTGGTAGAGCAAGTCATCGATGCTCGCCACTGGGCGGAGGCAAAAGTTGAAGAGACCGAAGACCACAAGACCAAGGCAGCAGAGCGGGAGGAGCCCGACGCCAAGGAAGAAGCCGATCGCGACAAATACAAACGCAAAAACAGCGAAAAACATCGTAAAGAACTGCAGCACGAGCAGGAGGGCCGAGTTGCAGACGTTCGAGACGAGCTGGCTCAGCGAGAAGAAGCCGCATTCGTGCTGGCGCTCTGGGCCGTGGTGCATCGGAAGCGGCCCCGAGCCGTAGACCGCCGTTCCCGTAGGGTACTGTTGCGCAATGTAGATGGGGGCTTGCTGCGGCGGATAGCTCTGCTGCGGGTAGCCCTGCTGCGGCGGGTACCCATACGGCTGCGCCGGCGCGCTGTTGTAGGCGGCGGGGTACGTCGGCTGCACGGGCACGGCTTGCGGCGTCTCGTCCGTGCTCGTCGTCTTGTACGTCGCCATGCTGTGATTTTATAAATGGCGTCGCATGCCAGTGACTGGGAAGAGGACACTCACTCGCGGCCTGCATTCTTGACTACAATCAGCCCAGAGTTAAACCATTGCGTTAAACCCAACAGGAATCGGCGTAATGCGTTAAATGCCCATCGACGTGCACACTATATTTTGCAGGCTTCTTGCGATCGGCAAGCTGGCCATCACTTCGACGGCGGCAGTGACGGCGGCGAATTGTTCCTTGCTGAAAAAGTCAAGTGGCTTGTCGAGCTTCACCTCGATAGCAGCATCGTTGATACGTAACCGAATTCATGCTCGCTGCTTTCCAAGCTTAGGGAATTCATTCTTTAGGCTTGAGACGTTGTTTGTACCAGTATACTACTACGTAGTAGTTGCTAAAGACATTGACTTGTTGCTCGTAAACGGTGGTTGACCACCGAGGAACGAGGATTGCGCCCGTGCTCGAGGGTGGGGGTCCTTGGAGCCAAAGAACGCAAAGCTGCGCCGAGAGCCTGGCTTTGAGAGGCTCGGCGCCGACATGGGCGCGCCAGCAACATGTCGTTGACAAACCGAACCTCAGAGGCATACGCGCGACGATCTCGAAGCTTCGTATTAATACCATATAGGTAGCGTGTTGGTAGAGATGATAGATGTGCGTGGGTCCAGAATGTCCAAATTGAACAAGTATCTTTGGCACCCGCGCTAGTAATCCATGGGCCATTCATTCATTCGCTCATCAGGTCACAGGCAATATACCGGTATACCAATGTTAGACGTCGAGGCTATGACTGCAACGCGAAAAGCGCGCCAAGGATGATGACACATGGCGACAAGCCTGATTGCATGGCGATTCCATCGCAAGCCGCTTCTCTGTGCACGCCCACGCACGGGCGGAGATGGGCATGGACTGTCTACCTCGTCGTATCTGTGCTTCCAGAAGCGTGGTGGGGCCATGTCCCAACCCATCGGCGCTGCGGCAGCGGCGCGGTAGATGCCCCTCGACGAGGTCCGAAATCGCGCGGGTCACATTTTGGCCAATCAAAACACATCAAATTTAAATATTTGAAGCACATCGCATCGGATCCAGTATATTATTTTGCACGCCCGACGATTGCGATTTCAAATAGCTTGGTGGTTGTATGTGAATGGTGGCGGCGCGCCATAGAATTGGCGATTGCCATTAAATTTCGCCGCCCCGCCGAATAAAAGCACCCAGTGGTTGACACAACCAATTCCTTGGGACCGCCTAATTATAGAGTCCGAGCGCGGAGGCCATCGACGGACGTGATGATGGAGCCGACGATGCAAGACTACCTCAAGCGCTACGACGAGCAGCAGAAGGCCCGCGCGGAAGCAGGTCGACGGGACATGGACCTCGGCGACGAAGACCATGCGAAGAATGGCGGTCCTTCCAAGTACACGGACATGTTCTTTGGAAGCGACAGCGACGGCGAGCTCTCGCAGTCGAACCTCCTCGGCGAGATGTCCCGGGACTTCATGGCGTCGACCGATGGCAAGAACATGATGGACGATACGAACTTTATGAGCAGCCTCCTCGGCAGCCCCGTGACGACGAAGCCGTCGCCGCTGATGGACCCACCAGCGCTACCGACGAAGGAGCAGCGGGATTCGCTCGAGTCGCTCTTTGCGCCGCAAACCAACCTCGCGAGCCAAGCAAACCACATTAACTTTGACAAGGACCCGATCAACCTTGACACGGAGAGCTTCGTCGACGCAGGTAGAAGATGCATTCGGCATCACCCTTTCCACATGTCTTGCGTAGCCACGTTCTTGAACCGACAAGAAGCGCTCATGAAGCCACAGACGACGCGACCAGAAGCTGGATCGGACAACACGACGTGGACGAGCTCGGGGTTTCGGTCACCAGACGACTTTTTCGCCGAGCGGTCGCGCGACCTGAGCAACGTCGAATTTGGTGACACCGCGATCCCGAGAAAGAGCTCGTTGAGTGGTCTCCCAGACGCCACAACTGCTGCGCCACAGCATACGAAGGAGGCGCTCTCATACATGGACTTCAGCGCACCCCCGACGTCGACAACACACAAGGTGCAGATGCAGATTCTGGACAACTTCTCTGAGTGGTGTTGTCGCAGGTGTTTTTGACTGCGACGCCGTCAAGCGTCTTGCAGCACGAAAAGCCTCCTGTTACGACGACCACATACTCACGAAGCTCCTTTTCGACGCAGCCAACCACGCCCAGCGCCAAGCACATTGTGCAGGTACTTTGAAAACCCGTTGCATGAATCAACGAACACGTACGTCTGTAATAGCCCACTCACTCAACACCACGACCACAACAAGTGTCTTCGCCCATGTATCGCGGGTCCTCGTGGACGCCAACCCCTAGCACCGACATGAGCCAGCCTTCGGTCGGCCTTTCGGCGCCGTTTATGGACTTGTCCATCTCGCAGTCGACGCCTGTCAAGGACCTCGTGCCCCGGCGCCAAACGCCTCCGGTCGAGACACAGCAGGTGTGTGAAGGCAATGTCGCGCCCAAATTGTGCTCACTCGGATCTACTTAGCCATTGTCCATCTCGACGTACTTGCAGGTGCAATTTGCATTTGGACGCCATACGCCAGAGCGAAACTAAGTGTCGACGTAGAACTCGCTCGCCAACTACGCCAACCGCCCGAATGTGTCGAGCGTGCCTGTCAACATTGACGACGAACCGTTCAAGGTTGTTTCAGACGCGGTGCAAGCGGCCATGTCCCTCACGGCCAAGGAGCGCGAAGCAGCGCAGTGGCACGAACCGATTCATCCATCGCACGTGATCCACTCGTCGCTCGATGCCGTAGCCGCGGTACGATCAAGCCTCAAGATCTCTATGCAGAGTCGTGAATGGCATCGCCGTAGGTGCAAGCCATGATTGAAGCGACGGGACATATGCAAGCCTCGGTATCCGAGGTCATGCGACTGCGAGCGCACGCCAAGCAAGCCATCGAGGCAGCTGTGGTCTCGGAGGCCATGGCGATCGCCGACTACCAAAAACAGCGCTGGTCTGAGCCACCTCGTCTGCGCGCCGGGTCGCAGCAGTTTGAGAGAAGAGCGATTGACAACATCACGGCAGAGCTTACGTCGGTGGTGCAAGAACCCACTCAACCCGTGCTGCCACCGCCTCGCCGCAGCTCACGAGCGTCGATCATTTCGTCGCAGTCGAGCCGAGCCGTGACGGGCGGCAAGGCGCAGCGCACGCTGGACATGTCGCAGCGCCAGGAGCGGGCGCCGCCGGCACATCGCGACGTGCCGTTCTCGGCCAAACAGGCGGCATCTCGGACCGATAACGTCATTGCCAAGTGCGCTGAACCTACACACAACCCCGATGGTCTTTCGCCAAGCTCGATGCGAGCCCGCGATTCCAAGCTGACGCGCGAGTTTGGCCTGTCCCCAATCCGGTTTGAGCCCAGTAGCATGTCGGTCGACGAGCCCATGACACCGCGTCCCACGTCCGACCACGATGTGGATCCGGCGGACCGCACAATGTCGGAAGCTGACCGGCGTCAAATGCACGCGCTGCTCGCGACGAAGAGCCCGATCGAAGGCGCCGGTCGCGGTCACCAGTCGACAGCTACTCCGATGCGAAGCTACAAGCGTGATTCAACGCTGCGGGCCAGTCACAGCGTGCCGCAGGACGCCGCAAAGCCCAACTTGCGAATCGACACGAGTGTTGCCCGTGCGGCGTTTCCTGAGAAATCAAAGTCGGATAAGCCGCCGTCGACCAAGATGCATCGCGACGACTTGCGAACGGCGTTCACGGACCTTCAGCACCACGAAGCGTCGACGCCGTCAGAGCGCTACTCGATCCAGCAGCACGCTGGGGACAAGAATACCATGATGAACGATGCGCAAACGGACGAACTTGCGTATAAGGAGGTTGTACTGCCTTTGTATCGATGTCGGTCGTCACAATTGCTGTAGGTGCCCATGAGTCCGCCACCGACGCCATACACCAAGGCACTCGAGGTACTTTGCTCTACAAATGTATGTAGACCACACTGCGTGCGTAGCGGCCCAAGCTCTGCAAGCGCTTCCTGTGCACATTAGGCGGCGAAATCTCGGAAACTTTTGTGTTTCGCAACACGAGCGCAACTTACGCGCGTATTTGCGCGTCGATTGTACCGTTAAGCCGTGGCTGCAACCAATTCCGTATCGTGCCCACCGTGCTCGAGATGCCACCCCACGCGTCGGACCACTTTGTTATTCGGTACGCTTTCGTTGATGCGATGGTTGCTGATGAACAATCGTAGGTTTGTGGCAACGCAAGTCGGCGCCGTCTCGGGCATCTTTCAATTTCGAAGCATGAGCGGCGACCCGCGCGCGACACCGTACGAGATTATTGTGGACGCCCACGTCAAGAACCCAGCAACGCCCGTGCGCCAGCCGACGCCGCCGCGTATCGTGCAAGAGGTGGCTGACGAGGACGCGCTCGAGGCCAACGGCAGCACGGTGGACGTGCATCCAACGTTTCTTCGGCTCTTGGCGGCCAACGACGTCAAGTCGTTTGAGGTCATCAACTTTTCCGACAAGGACGTGCCGTTCTCGATCGCGTGCCCGTATCCGCACATTTCGCTGGCGCCGACCCAAGGGGTCGTTGGGCCCAAGAGCAAGTCGACCGTGACTGTCCACTGCAACGCGGCGACGTCATCGGCGCTGCCGCCCAATAAGAAGACGTGGTGCGGCTCGTTTACGATTACGCTGAACAACGCCCTGACGCGCGAGATCAGCGTCGTCGTGGACGCGTCCGCGCTGGCCCACGAGCCTCCGTCGTACCCCAAGTCGAGCCAATTGAGTCAGAGCAGCGTCGCATCGTCGACGCGAACCAAGAAGCGGTCCAAGCGCGGTCTCTTTTTCCAGGCCGAAAACATGGACTGCGGCAGCGCAGCTCTGCACACGTCGCAGTGTGTTCCTGTGCGCATCTGCAACGGCGCGAAGGAGCCCATGACGGTGTTTGTTCAGACGCTCGGTCGTCCGTTTTCGTGTGCCTACTCGAGCCTCACGCTACGCCCTCGCTCGTACGTCGAAGTACCCGTCGTCTTTACGCCCGAAAAGCTCGGCGATGCGTCGGTGCCCATGGTTGTCTACTCGTCGACGGACAAGGCCATCTTGATGCTCCACGGCCGCGCGACGGCGTCGGCCTAGTCGTTATCTAGTCTAATAGTCGAATCCTCTCGAAGGTCTCCTCAATGACAAGTTGTCTCTTAAACGACAAGTTGTCCACAGCGAGTAGGCAAAAGCTGTATTACTACGTCAAACAGTCGCATCGGGATCGTCAGCGTGTGCTGGGACGCGGCCACGTCAGAAACCAGCTTTAATTCGGCATCTGCCATAGTATCAACGGCGTAATGCCGAAAACAGACTAGCTTATTTCTGGCAATCTACAAGGTTTGGCGTGATAATTCTTCTGATCGTCAAAAGACTGGAGGCCGATGGCGGAGACCAAGACGACGAGCAAGAAGGGCGACCGGGTGGTGCCATCGGGCTGGACGCGCGTCGAGAGCAAGAGCCGTCCTGGCGAGTGCTACTACCTCAACAAGAAGACGGGCCAGAAGACGTGGAAGTACTCGGAGATGATGAGCAGCAGTAAGGACGGGAAGCGGAAACGCGACGAGAAGGCCAATTCGTCATCGTCGTCCAAGCGGCCCAAGAGTGACGAGAAGCAGTCCAAGGTCGACGACGAATCGACGGTGCACGTGCTCCACATCCTCGTCAAGCACTCGGGCAGTCGCCGGGCGTCGTCATGGCGACAGGACACGATTACGCGCAGCAAGGACGTGGCAATCCAGCGCCTCCAAGGCCTGCGCGACCAGATCGTGCTGGCGGGCAAGCAGCACCGCGATGCGATCCGCGACAAGTTTGAGGCGCTCGCCAAAGTCGAGTCGGATTGTAACAGCGCCAAGCGCGGAGGGGACTTGGGCCCATTCGGGCGCGGCAAGATGCAGCCGCCCTTTGAAGCCGCGGCCTTCGCGCTGGCGCCGGCCGAGCTCAGCGAGATGGTCGAGACGGAGAGCGGTGTCCACATCCTCTACCGTATCAAGTAATAGTAGCGTCGCCTGCTGTACAGACGTCGCCGTGTCTCTTGAGAAAGGTCGTAGGAGGAAAGCAAAGTAGCATTAGATATCTAAAGGGCAAACACGTTGGCAAAGCCGTCGTTGGCGCCAAAGACGGCTGTGCAGCGCTCGTAGGCCACCGGCACCTTTTGGTTCTCGCGCCGCTTGAGCGCCGACTCGATGAGCGCGTCGTACTGGACGTCCATCATCTCGGGCGTCATGTCGAGCATCGCCGACCGGATCTTCTCCTTGAACATGCTGGCCTTGGCCTGCACGTCGGCGTGGTAGTGGTCCATGAGCGACACCATCTCCCAGAGAGAGCTCTGGAGCGCGTTCGTCTTGGCCGGGTCGTTGGTACTCGCATCGAACGGGTCCTTGCCGCCCTTGAGTGTGATCTTGCTGCTCTCCTTGGCGATCTTGGCCGCGGCCGCGTCGACCTCGTTCTTGACGCCGAGGTTCGCGCGCTTCTCAGCGGCCTTCTCGGCCACCGTCATGACGGACGTGCGGTGGATGAGCTGCGTGCACTCCTTGTGACGCACGACAAGGTTGTACACCATGGGCACGATAAAGAGGATCGCGCCAGGTTCGGCCGTGAGCGCCACACGCGCGAGCCTAGACACGCACTCTGAGCACTTGTACAAGCCTCTGGATGACGACGTCCTACCGCTTGGCAAACGACGCGACGAGGTACGCGGGCAAGTGCGTCGACGAGAGGAAGAGGTTCAGGAGCTTGAAAAAGCGCTTGCTAAGGTCCAAAAGCTTGTTACAACGACTCATATCAGAGGGAGGAGCGAACGCACCGGTACTTGGAGCGGAGGAGCGACGTGTCACCGACGAGCGCGTAGAGCTTGGGGAAGAAGTCGGGGTAGTCAAAGTTGAACTCTTGCATGAGGAGGAAGAGCGAGTTGAGGGCGAGAAGACTCGTGATGCCCCCGACGTTGTACGAGTCGGTGAGAAAGTCGGCAAGCAAAATCGGGTCCACCAAGTACGGCATGATCTCGTCCGGGAGCTTGGCCAGCACCGTCTTGTAGACGTCCTACGCTCGTCATGAGCATCCGACGTCGTCAAGACGAGCTGGTACCTCGGGCAGCTGGTGCTTCAGCAGCGCAATCCACGCCGCGCTGAACGCACGTTCGTGCTCGCGCGGGTTGTAGAGCGACGCGCTCTTGGACTTCTTCTTGAGCGGGCCGCCCGTCGACGACGCGGGGCGCTTCCCATTCGCGTTGACCGCCGCTTCCTCTTCGTCGTCCTCATCGTCATCCTCATCGTCATCTTCGTCGTCCTCGTCGTCCTTGGCGGCCATGGCCATGTCATGTTCCGTCATCTTGGGCGTCACGAGGAACGTCGAGATGTCGTCGCGGGTGTCGGGCACGGTCACCATGTCCATGATGGCCAGCGCGTTGCGAATGAGCGCGGACGTCGGCTTGGTCTTGGTGGCGTCGAGGATCACCGCAAGCGTCTTCATCTACAGACCATAGCCGTCGTGAGCCGCCTGGTCAGGTCGAGTGTCGACCACGCACCGTGTAGTACTGCACGTCGATGTACGCGGCGACGAATTCGCCCTTGAAGACGCTGAGCAGCTCGCCGTTAAATTCTTCCGAGAGCACCTAAATCCACTAAGTCCTCCTCTCCTTTTGGGTGGCAGCGTCGTCGTACGAGCTGGCGCACGACGCGGCTGTAGGTTTCGTTGCCAAAGCCCTCTTCCTTGAGGCCCTTGAAGACGTTCTCACGGGCCACGACGTCCATGAGCGTCCGGAGTGCGGCAATCTGCGTGTTGAATGTGAGCGTAGAGCACATGGCGATGGGAGTACCTGCACGTTGTCGTCTTCGTCGTCGAGCCAATCGACCATCGTGTCGAGGAAGGCGACGTAGTTGTCCCAGAGCCACTTGCGGTACTTGGCGACCGCGTCCTGCGTCTTGCTCAAGTCCGGGACTAGGCAGACGATGAGCCGCGCGATTGGCGCACATACTTGACGTACTGCGAAGGTCGCCCTTCTCGGCAAAGTAGAGGAAGAGGCGGCGAAGCGACTGCACGGCGGTCTGGGCGGCGGCCTACGCTCCATCGTAGTGAGCGACGATTCTGGCAGATGTGGTCGCATCTACCTTGTCGCCCTTCTTGAGGCATGCGCTGATCTTGGTCAGCTCTACGCTCGCAGGTCCATGAGCTGTCAGCCGCCATGAGGTTCGTACCGTTGGTGTGCTTGGCATCTTCCTTGATCTTGGCCTCGAGCTTCTTGATCTCGACGCTGCTCAGTGCCATGGCTGCTGTTGCTGCTGCTTGTATGAGTGCTTGGTACGTGGATCCTCCGTATAATTATTTTTATCCGGATCCCTTTTGACTGGTTTCGAGGCTGGGGCGAGCGGGCCAATCCCGTGCGAGGCCAATGACGTGGCACCACGAGCAACGAGAAACGGCAGCACGATCTGCTTAGGACTAGTGTTTCGCTAGGTCTTTTCAGGCGGAAGGACGCCCCACGGCTGCGTGTTGAACTGCGACTCGAGGCTGCCGGCCCACATCCGATGGTAGCTCGCGCCGCCGGCCTTCTTGGGCATGCGCGTCGAGTGGTCAAACTGCTTCTCGTCGCGCTCGAGGACACCGCTGCTGTACACGAGGCGCTGGTGGGACTTGGCGCGCACCCGCGCCTTTTCTTCCCAGGACGCGTGCTTGGCGCGGAACTCGGCGTTGTGCTGCATGCGAAGGATGTTGTGGTACGTGCGCTCGTGGCGCGCGGCGAGTCGTGCTTTCGCGCGCTGCAAATCGGCCTCGGGCAGCCCCGCGCGCGCACTCTTCTCGGGGCTGAACTGCTCCATGTTGGTGGTCTTGAAGCGGTCTTCTGGCGGGAGGTACGCTGGCGACTCGTTCGCGGGCCAAGCACCACCGACACCGACGCGACTCCAATCTGTGACTTCTTTTCGGTGCCGACTCCGTGGTGGCACGACGGGTCCGAGCGTCGCAAAGTACGCGCTGAGGTCTTCGGGCACGCTGGCCGACGTGCTCAGCGCGGTATCTGGTTTTGGCGGACTTAGCACTAGCGCTGACGTGCGCTTGCAGAGCTGCTCGGGAAGACATCCCGGGAGACTCTCGACGTCGCGAAGCTTGACCGGTGCAACGACGGGTACCGGGCCGTCAAGGTCTTCAAAGATTGGACGCGGACTCGGTACCGTCTTGGCACGCGCCTCGAGCTGCGTGAGCTCGCGCTGGCGGCCGTGCAGGAAAAGGTCCCGATCCGCGCCTTCCGGTTGGCTCGAAAAATAGTTGATAAATTCCTACAACGATCACAAGTCCATCATAGGGGCATCCTGTGGCCTTCTACCTTGAAGGAAACGTATCCGTTCTGGTCGGCATCGATCGTCGCGATCATCGCGTCCAGCTCGATCGGGTCCATGTCCAGGTCGAGCATGCCATGTCCGAGTGCGGCCTTGAGCTCGTCGTACGTCAAGGATCCGTCGCCGTCGTGGTCCATGTGCCGGAACGCGTTTAAGAGCACTAGATAGATATTGTCGCCTCCTCTTAGAGCACCCTGCGCACCTTTGGAGGTGCTACCGTATGCGACTTGCTGTGACACGTGCTTGGTCAAGAGCTTCTCCGAGAGCTCAAACTGGAACGCGGCGATGCGCGCTTTGGTGCGCGGCGTCACGGCCAAGGGCGGTGGCCGCGTCTTGAGCGCGGCCGTCGTGCTCTCAAAGCTCTTAAGCATCGGCTCGGCCTCAAACATTTCTGAAAACTCGGCAAAGTCGATCAAGTTGTTGCCGTTCGTGTCGACCATTTGGTACAAGAGCCGCTGGTCGTCTTCGGCCATGTCGAGCCCTAACCACGACTCTACCAACGTATCAAGATATCATGCGTGGGTACCGAGAAACGAAATGGACTTGTGGAACTGCTCGAACGTAATGTTGCCCGAGCCCGACTCGTCGAACGCGCGGAACATGGCGCGCATCGAGCCAAAGCGGGTCGCGACGCGCGCGCGGAGCTTATTGCGGTTCTTCACAAAGAGCGCTTGCGTCACGGGGTTGGTCTTATCGATCGCTGGTGTTCTCGGTGCGGGCTGCGGTGCATTGGCAGTCGTGTGCGGTCGCGGCTGCAGCGGCGTCGGCGTCCGGGCTCGCGCCACCGGCGTCGGTGGCGACATCGCCGGCTCGCGGCCGTAGATGGCGCCCGAGAGGCCGGAGAGCTTGGGCGTCGGCAAGAGCGGCGACGATGAGGCGCGCAGGAGGTTGGTCGTGCCCACGTGCACGCGCTTCTGCTTCTGCACGAGCGGCATGCGATGCGGCGACGCCGCCATCTCGCGCGGGCACCGCGTCGACGTCATCGAGTCGTTGGCGGATGATGATTGATGTACACTATAATTAGTTGGACTAGGAAAGCTACGGTTTCGACGATGCAACGAAGAGCGACTCGAGCGTCCGAGCGATCGCGACCGTCGTGCTCGGACACGGTAAGACGGCTCTGGCCCGTGCTGCGCTACAGACGACACCACCGTCACGATTGACCAGGTCGACGTCCAGATGTGGCGCCTTGCGGGCCGAGACTGCGCCGGGCGGTAGGAGCCGGCCGCCGGCGACTGCCACCCACGTCTGCGACGCGAAGCTGCACCCAGACACATGCACCTTGACGTGCGTGAGGCGCGCTCCAGCCTCCGGAAAGGCATCGACGACGACGGCGCTTGTCCAGTAGCCGGTCGCGTCCAGATAGTCGACGCCGTCGCCGACAACGAGTTGGCTACGAGAAAAAATAATTGTGGCATGAGGGCCACTGGAAGCGGGGACCTACGATGCAAATTGCGCTGCGTATGCACAGGCTGCCGCTTGCGCCGGCGTTCTGGCCGGCGCAGCACGCACGTGACTGCGCTTGCCGGCTGCCTTCTTGGACCGGCGACGGAGCGCGTTGTACGAGGCTTCCACGCGCTTCACAAAGGTTGCTTCTTGCTCGTAGATGGCGTCGAGCGGCGCCAGGTCGCGCACGCGGTCTAGAGATAGCATGTCGTTGTCTTCTGGGACGGGCGTGCTCCGAGACGTACCGGCGAGGTGGCGCAGCGTGTGCCAGTTGGAGAGCACTTGGGGCACAAAGGCAGCCACGCACTGTGTTAGCGCGCTCGCGATCTCGTCTGTCTCGGTCGCCGGCGGCGGCGTCGGGTCGGGAAGGACCCCGTCCATTGGAAAGGAGCCGTCGTCGCCCATGGCGGCTTCCAGTTTGCAGTAGTAGGCTTCAAAGACGTCGTCGTTGTAGCCGGTTGCGAGCACATGGTTGTCGTCGACCACGACAAAGTCGCCGCCGACCGCCTCGACAAACTCTTGATCTTGCCACACTTCGCGGTAGTACCGACCCCGAGGCGGCATCTCGAACGGCGCTTCGTCGTGCGCTTCGGGGAGCCACCCGGGCGGCGTGTCGCGAAGGAACGGGTCGCCCATGGTCGCGACGGCGCGGCTCATGCGCTCGAGCTCGTCCGCGCGGCTGAGATCGATGGGCTGGAAGTAGTCGCGGTCAAACATGGTCCACATCCAGTCTTCGGGCGGCGGCTTACCCTTCTCCTAGCATTCGCATTGCATATGTCCAATTTGGCATGCGAGCAAGTGGACCAATACCTGGCGGACGAGCCATGGGTACACGGCCGGCCGGGCGACACGTGACGGGTCATCGTCGTCGTCGTCGTCGTGAGGGGTGTCGTCCTCGTCCTTATCGCTACTGTCAAGAGCCTCTGCGTCGTCGCCGCTGCTGCTGGACGGCGCGGCGAAC